GGGGGAGCGCCGGCCCTGGGCGCGTGGCTATGGGGGGGGGCCTGGTGCCCGGCGGGTGAACGGCCCTGCCCCCCTGGTGCCCGGCGGGCGAATGGCCACGCCCCCTGGCGCCCGACAACCTTGAAAGGTTGGGGACCACTGTCCTAGATGTTTATAATGGTCCCTTCTGGCCATAAAATACACACAGGCTAGATTATTTGGTCTACTATTTTCAGTGAGTGCTACATATTCTACACCAGCTGTCCCTACATACTTCCAGAAGAAGGGGAAGCTGCGATGGCATCAGACTCCTCTAGGCCAGATTCTCTACCAGTGTGAGCTCCAGTGGCCAAAATTTAAGTTGGCTTCCTGCTGCTTTAACTTCTGCTCAGGTTGGTGATCATGGAGCTGCAGGCACTGACTGCCACTGTCACCGGTGCTTGAGCAGAGCTCATATTTAATGGAAAATAGGAGCCTATGAATTGGTACTTGATGTCTCTGAAAAATCAGGCCATAAATGTCCCACGTGGGCACCCAAAATTAAATGAGACTTTTGAAGATGTGAGCCTCAGTATCTCTGTGCCTTAGTTCCTCTGTACAAGGATGTTATGAAGTATCTGCCTCTCAGGTTCACTTCATTTGTCTTTTGCAAAGCACCTTGTGACCCTAAGACAGAAGCTCCATCGAATGGTATGTTCAGTCTTCCATGTGTGCACAACAATGAAAAGAGGGGACCAAAGGAGCTCACTGGCAGCCTCTGAAATATTGGGCCGCTCTGGGTATGTCTATACAGAAAAGCAAAACCTTCAGCAGGCCTGTGCAGCTTGGGCTGCAGAGCTGTCTCATTGTTGTATTGACTTTTGGGCCAGAGCCTGGGCTTTGTAAGATTCAAGGGTCCCAGATCTTGGGCTCCAGTCCAACCCTGGAAGCTTACACATCAGTGAAACAACCTGAGAACTCAGATGCAGGCCAGCTATGATTTTTAATTTACTGTGAAGACACTTCCAAAGAATGCTTCAGACTAAGCCCAGTTTTGGCTTTAGCCTTCCAAAAGAGGGGGAGAAGGACTTGGCATGGGGTAGCAGTCACCTTGCTCCTCTTCCATAATACCTGGCAGAGCTGACATTTGTGGAGGGTGCACCTACTGCGCAAGTTGTGCCCTCTCCTTCCACATATATAGTCTAGAATGAATTTCATTTCTGCATTTCATCTTTCACATGGGTGATGCTTGAACACAGGCTTTTAGTCCAAAGTAATCGTTTACCTGGCAATTAAATATTTAATTCTAACTTTAAAACCATCTGAAGTAGTTATTTTCCACATACCCTTTAAAATTCAGGTCACTTTCCCCTTTCTTCATTAGAAAATTAATGAGTAATTATTGGGGAGAATAGAATGTTAGAAAATATTCTGATGTTTCTGGTCTAAAATATATACTACTCATCTATTTAGAATGTGACTGTAGGGTAATGAAATTAGTTTTATACTAACCCTTTTTAGGGCTCTTTTTATTCTTTTTAGAAGACATACTCTGATTTTGTGACTTTTTTTTAAATTTGAGTTTCTTTGCTGCAAAGCAGTCAACATAAATAAATGAAAAGTAGCACAAATGCATAGGTTTCAGTGCATCCATGCTACCCTACATTTGAATAAGATTTTATGATTCATAGCTTGGTACTCCCTTTATCTGATCATACAAATTCAAGTAACTGTTATGTAAGAAAAGTTAAGCATAACATTTATTTGATGACAGCACTAATGGAAAGTTAATGTACACCATTGCAACCAAAGACAATCCATTAGTTTCACATTCTTCCATCTATAATCTTCTGGTTCTATATAGGAAAAAGACATAACCCAACCAAATATTATTTATTGACTCTATTTTAATAAGTAATGCTTAATATTACAGTTACCTGTTTTCCATAGTCAGGTGATGTGATCTGACCGTAATTATGAACACGTTGCAGGTATGCATTAACAAAATTTAAGTTAGGTTCTATGTAAAAACCATAGATAGTGCTTCACTGTAAGAATGTCTTTAATTAACAAAGCTCTACTAGTAATTTAAGATAGTAAAATACCATTTCTTCTTTAGGGCTTAGCTATTGAACGGCTTGGACGCAGACCTCTACTTATTGGCGGTTTTGGTTTGATGGTCATCTTCTTTGTGATACTTACAGTATCCCTGACTTTACAGGTACAGTATATCTTTTATATAACTATTTTCATTTTTTCTATTTTAAATGTCAGGTATGTATTACTACTTCAACTTATTTCTGCAGGTCATTCCAACTTTTGATTAAATGATCGCCTATTCTGAAATGGAGATTTGAGGTTCTGTCTTCTGTTTAATTATACATTTAATTATTTCAGCATGTGATTGTTAGTTATAATGGGATCTAGAAGATTGTCTTATTCATTTCCAAGTGAGAGTTTCACATATGCAGATATGAGAGGATAATTTTGCCCCTGGTTGAGAAATGCTGCATTCAATACTTCTTACTTTTATTGTGAAACAGTATATATCTCCTTGAAATTTCTTGCATTTTCTAGGAACCTTCTGTGTACTGGTGATATTTTTTTCAAAAGCAAAAAGGTTAAATTCAACCAGAAGACTCCCAGGGGAGAAAACATTCCAGTGTGACAGTACCTTTGAAATTCAGTTCAGCTATTTTGACTCAAAAGGTGAAGATTCCTTATTTGTTGGAAGGCAGCACCTGGCATAGAGATGCAGGGTTAGCGTTTACTTCACAAGTGATTATGTCAAATGATTTAGAAGAAGGTTATTAAACTGTAACACTGAAAGGAAATCAGTTTGTCTGACATGTTTATCCTCTGTTTGTATGCATCCTCATGTGCAACTCTCTTTTGTTCCTGGGGCCTGAAAAGTAGAGTTCTGACAGGTTAAAACAGCCTGCTTTTGGTGATCTTTCAGAAAATTGTTCTTCTGGCTGTAGTCAAGACCTCTCTGTCTTTGGTAAAGTGGTAAATGGCAAGGCTCATTTTAATCTGACTGCTCTGGTCTGTTTCTTTGGTTGAGTTCATGTGAAGGGTACCACTGAGGGTATGTGTACATTGCAAACCAATGTTTAATTAGGCTGTGGGTTGCCTTAATCTAGCTAGTGAAGGCAATGATAGTAATGAAAATGTGGCAATACATGCTTCGGAGCAGGCAGGCTACCCCAGTACAATCCTGCCAGGGACCTTAGTACATATTTTCATTGCTTTCCCAGGTCCCTCTGTCTTCACTGCTAACATACCTGCACCTGCTTGCTTATGGCTAGTATAGGCATTTTCATTTGGGCTATCATTATAGCTTACTTTAGGGTGTGAACATACTCTTGGAATCCATGTGTGTAGCATATGAACATAGTAAAAACATAACAAGAACCAGTAGCTGGAAACTGAAGCTAGACAAATTAGAAATATTGTACACATTTTTAACAGTAAAGTGGTAAACCAGTGGAATAAAGAGAAACGGGAAGCAGTGGATTCTCTGTCAATGTACAGGCAGTCCCCGGGTTATGTACAAGATAGGGACTGTAGGTTTGTTCTTAAGTTGAATTTGTATGTAAGTCGGAACTGGTACATATTGTAGGGGAAACTCTAGCCAAACATTTCTCCAAAGCTCAGTTTTATTCTCCCACACCTCACTTCCCTCAGTCCTTTATTCTCAAGCTGAGGTGTCTGCTGAGAAAAGCCGCTTCGCGTCTCCCTGGTCTGCTGGGGGGAACGCTAGCTTCGCGTCTCCCTGGTCTGCTGAGGGGAAGCAGCTAGAGCGGGGTTGCCTCACCCCGTTTGTAAGTAGGGATCCGATGTAAGTCGGATCCATGTAACCCGGGGACTGCCTGTATTCAAATAAAGACTGGATTCCGTTCTGGAAGATGTACTTTAACCAAAAGCAAGTTATTGAGCTGAGTCCAAGAGAAATGGGTGAAATTTAAGGGCCTGTGTTATACAAGAGGTCAGACTAGATCAGCAATGGGCAAACGAGACTAGCAAGTGGGCTGCATGAGTAGCCCTTCTTCATTTCTTGGGCCGCAAGATTGTCTCAATTGTGACAGCCTCCTGAGCTATACGGTAGTTCCGCTAATTGCACTTGTGTATGTAGTATTTTGGGGTGCGCCCATTGAACCGTAACAGCACTTTGATTGGATGCAGAGGGAACACACGACTCTCATGGTCATTGTATGCAATTAGCATGCACCTTGCCTCTCTTGCCCCTGCTTTATGTGCATGCCACTTTAATAATACCAGTGGGAAAGAACTACCCAGTAGGAAAGAACTACCCAGATGGAAACCAGCGGAATCTAGCAACCCTGCACATGGGCAACAATAAACAAAATGTCTCATGGGCTGCACACACACCCTTGATAGGCCACATAAGGCCCTTGAGCCGTAGGTTCCCCACCGCTGAGCTAGATGATTTAATGGTGTCTTCTGTCTTTAAACACTACAAATCTGTGAAATATCTAAATAGTACTTAACAACAGCCTTGATCTCTGAGGAAAATTGTATCTGGTTCTGAATTGCACCTACTTCCTCTCTGTACAAGGGGCTGAGAAATTTAGATCTGTGTTTGGATCCAGACTTTGGACCTTGAGCTCCTCTCTGATAAATGTATAGCTTTATGAATTCTCACAAATGCCGAGAAAATCCTTCACATATTGTAATGTATGAATTAGTGAAAAAACAAGTTAAAAGCAAACAAACCAATCAATATATTACTGTTCTGTTTGAACTTATACTTTAATCATTGATATTGACAAGTATACTTATGATGATGCTTCAGAATACTGTAAGGGAATATATCTTCATGTTTTGTAAAAGCAATAAAGACTTTGTTACAATGAGTGTGAATATTACTATATGCTATTAAACATTTTCTGAGAAATATGATGAGACCACAGCAGTGTGGTGGAAAAACAGGGAGGTTTACTACTCTGCTACATAAATGAATCAAGGACAGTGGGCTGGTAATTAAGTAGAATTTTCTCTCAATATTTCAAGCTAGCAGGAACATGCATATAATTTAGCAATCCTGTTGAATCTAACGCTACCTTCCTTTACGTTCTTCTTATTAATTTTAGATTATTCCTTTTGGTTACTTTTTACCTGTATTATGGTTGAGTCTGTTTTCTGTAGACAAAATCATCTTGATAGCCCGTGGCTATCCTTTTCCATACAAAACTTTCCTTGACTGCAGATTCAGACCCACTGGGTTGTTTGTCTATAATTTCAGGATGTGGCTGAAAATCCCATCCTGCTTGACTGCAACCACTGTCCATTGTTTGACGCTTAGAATGTAAGAATAGCCATGCTGGGTAAGAGGAAAGGTTCATCTTGCCCAGTATCCTGCCTTCTGACACGGGCCAGTGCCAGTTACTTCAGAGAAAATGAATGGAACAGATAATCATCAAATGATTCTTCTCCTGTCACCCATTCCCAGCTTCTGGAAAACAGGGCCCTGTTCTATTGAAGCCATGTGTTTAGTCTGTCATTCACAGAGATTACCTTTTGTCATTTAAAAAAGTAGCCATGCTGGCCTTCATTAATATGTCAGGTAGATGACTAAACAGAATTTGTGCAACACAAGATAAGTCTCTTTCACATCTTAGCTGAATTGCAACATGTAAAAAGTTATGAGATTTGAATATTTGAGCCTTGTTCAGTGCAGCAGACCTTTTGACATTTCAGTGTATGCATTCGAAGTTTTAATTTTAGTATAATTTGAATAATAAATTATCTAATAAATATTTCAGGAATACTGATTTTTAAGACTAACTTTTAGCATAAACCCTAGTTCAGTGTTTCTCAACCTTTTTTATAAAGTACCCCTTTAAAAAAATGTATAAGTACCCCCAGTACCTACAGTTTTCAGACATACAATTTTTTTTTCTAACATTGCAACACATTTGTTTAAACAATTTAATCGTAGCCAGGCAGGCGATGAAATTTTTGGGTATAAAAAGTACAAAAATAATAAAGCACTGTAAAACTTAAAACAAAAATTCAGTTTTCCCCAAATTTCAGTTGTTGACCTACCCCCCAGACTTCTCTCAATTACCACCAAGGGTACTTGTATCACTGGTTGAGAAACACTGCCCTAGTCTATGGAACATATGTATAGAATATTTTCATTCTATGTGATCTCTTATTATTGACTCAGCTTTTGATAGGAGTATGAGTTATTTTTTGTTGCTTTTTTTTCCAGAATCATGCATACTGGCTCCCCTATCTCAGTATATTTTGTATTCTTGCAACAATTGCATCATTTTGCATTGGCCCAGGTAAGTAATTTTTTTCACTTTTGTGTCATTTTCCATGCACCAAACACTAAAACATGCATTACATTAGACCAGTGTTTTTCAAAGTGGACCATGGGCCTGCTTTGGGAAAGTCACTAGTAGGCCCAAGCCACTTTATTTACCTAACAGGTCTGTAGCCATGGAGCCTAATGCATTGCCTCTTGTTCACTGTTTCCAGCCAAGGCAACACTTTGGGTAAACAAAGCGGTGCAGGCCCTCTAGCAGCTTTCACAAAGCGGGCCTGCAGCCCACTTTGAGAAACCTTGCATTAGACATTGCCACATGTGTGGCAGGGGGTTGTGTGTGCATCTTGTATAAGATGATGATCAAAAAGATTAATCTCCCCTCGATAATGCTTCTGGTTCCTCATTGCATGTCAATTTTACATAGACTGCATGAATTTAGAAGAGCATGTCGATAGTGTGCCAGTAATGACACTTGTACTCTGAGTACCTGTTTGTTAGTTCTTTCAGGATTTATTAGGCTTTTTCGTAGCAAAAGATACAACTTGATCCACTGTATGTTATCCTTAGTTTGCAGTCTATTACAATGAACTCTTTTTGGAACAGGGTTTGTTCAAAAGCACTGATACCTAATGGCCTGGATTTAGAACTCAGTTACATCAGTGTAATTTTGGAACAACTACATGACTTAAATAACATTATTCCAGGATTACATCAATTTAACTGAGAACAGAATCTAGCCCTGTGAATTTCCAAGTAGCTAATTTTGATACAGTTTGTTTGCAGATACAGAAAGATGCATTTAAGCAGCCTCAATTTGTGTACAATATGTGGTGCCTAAACAATGTGGTGGCTCCCCTCCCCCCAAAAAGATTCCGTAACAAATTAATCTTTACAAAAGTGGGAAAATAAACTACACTTATGATTTTTCCTTCCTGTTTGTTTTATTATAAATATGAAAGCAAGGTTTCTGTCCCCATCACTTCTGCCATTTCATTCTGCATATTTTCTCCTTTCTCTTTTTATGGAGCTGAAATGTAACGTGATTCTTTTGTTCCATTTCCTTACCTGTGCATCGTTGTTGTTGTTGGCATAATTTCTTATTAAGGCCACTGTTCTCTTTGGTGATGGCGTTCATTATTTAACTACTACTGTGAATACAGTTGGCAAAGGCAACATACTGTTTTTGTGTGGATTGTTTAATAAATATGGCTAAATTGTAATATGTAAACACCTCCACCCCCCAACCCAGTGGGGTTTTATGTAGCCATGACACTGCAGGAGAAGTTCTTTCCTACTTTCCTAATGCTCTGGGCAAACAGCTCTGTCACTAATCTATGCCAGCTCCCTTCCATGCTCTCTGGCTGGATGTGGGTTAAACTAGCTTGAAAAAGCTGACACATTTCTGCCCTTGCCTACCTACCTATGTGGGAGTTAGGGAGCAGCAGAGAATAGAAGTCCCACCCAATCCTGGCACCAAAACCCATTTTGCAAATCATCATGCAATCCACTTATGCTTTAATAAGACCACATGTCAATCTGCCCAAGTATGTCATGTTCGAAACAAAATTCTGAGTGAAAAATTGCTGGATTTTTTTTAAAGGCATTTTCAGTCTTGGGAGCTCAAGCAATTACTTTAAACTTCTTGCCAATTTCCCTTTTAAACACACAGAAATAATTTACCTCCTGTAAGTATGAACACTAGTCACCTCCACTTATTTTTGTTTCAAAAACCCCATAGAAGCAAATTTGCAGAGTCATTTTGGCCACCCCTAAAAATTATTCATTAGTTTTCAAAACTTCAAATGTACATTGGAGTTCAAATCTTTACAATAAATCCTCCACATTTTTCTCTTCTCCCCCCCCCCCCCCCCTTTGTTTCCTGTGATAGATTCTATTTTTGTTCACTCAACTTTGTACACTTACCTTTTATCCTGTTAATGCTGCTAGTCAGGATTTTCTAATACATTTTGCACTTGTATTGAGGCAATACATGTAAGTATGGAAGACTGAAACTTCTGTTCTTTATTGCAGACTTCTGCCTATAGAAAATCTCTAAAATTACAGCACTTTTCTTGAAGCTATGTTTTCTTGTTTCTCCTTCTAAGGAAGAAAACGTAATACTTGTTTTCTCTAAAACCAATCCATTGACCATTCTCATGCAGTCATATAATCCTAATTGCTGGTAAAAATGTGGTGACTGTGATAGATGCTATCAACACATTATATAATAGTCTATGAATGTTCCAGGTTTATAAATGTTATGTGTGTCTTTATGGGCTAGGGATAGTATTCCTGACTTAATAGGGATGCTAAAATGTTTCCTCAGTAACTATAATTACCGATGAAAAGTAACGAGAGGTAAGTAGCTGTGTTAGTATGATTTTGGCAAAGCAAGAAAAGCAGACATGTAGCACTTTAAAGACTAACAAGATGGTTTATTAGGTGATGAGCTTTCGTGGGGCAGACCCACTTCTTCAGATCATATTCTGAAAGTGAAATGGCATGACCATTATATAACAGAGGGATACAATGAAGAAGTAAACAAATCAGCTACATAGAATAGAAGGTACAATATGACTCTTACAATAAGCAATTTCCTCCTTCCTTATCTCTTCCTCGTCCCCTCGTCCCTACCTTCTATTCTATGTAGCTGATTTGTTTACTTCTTCATTGTATCCCTCTGTTATATAATGGTCATGCCATTTCACTTTCAGAATATGATCTGAAGAAGTGGGTCTGCCCCACGAAAGCTCATCACCTAATAAACCATCTTGTTAGTCTTTAAAGTGCTACATGACTGCTTTTTTAAATAATTACTGATGTTTGTTTAATGAACATCTCTGAGGCAGGTAATAAATCTGGAGAAATTTTGTCCCTGGGGGGGAATTGCATATAGTGGTTTGATGTGGTTTAAGAGGCCTAGCAAATAAACTGAAAGCCATCTAACATGACTACTATGACCTGAGAAGAAATGTTATTCTCACACTTGATACAAGAACTGGCATGAGACACACAGGTCCTGTCCTGAAATATTTTGGAACCTGCCAGAGCTCCCCTGTGAAGGCTGGGTGATACCTGGTAGATATAATTGTAAACTATTTGTTGTGAATACGAGGGATTTTCAGCTTAAATTCCAAGTCTGGAGGGAGTGAGTCGAGGGATTCTGCCCCAAGCATTATGATGATGATTCCATTAAAAAAATTAAAAGCACTTTAGCTAAATTGAATGAGGCCAGATTTACCCACAGTGAAACTGCCCCTCTGATCAGTTATCCTTTGTCTGGGCAGGCTCTGAATTTTTGTGCTTCTTTTGTTTCTGTAAAGGACCATTTTTCTTTTAGAAATGGAAACTAGTTTCCATCATTAGCCATATTTCATAATAAAAGAAAACCTACCCTATATTGTTAACCTAAAAAAAAGTATAGATTGGACCTCCTTGGTCCAGCACCGTTGGGACCTGATTGCTCCCAAATGAGAGAATTTGCCAGACTAGGGGAAGTCTCCTGCTACTAGCTGTCAAGGCTGCCCCAGAAGGCACCTGTCTCACCTCCCACTCCTCTCACTTGGCTGAGCACCTTGCCTAGCTGTTGCCGGCTCCCTGGGTAGCAGAAGCTGTGACTCCTGCGATGGGGTTCCAGCCCCATGCTCAGGGAACTTCTACGGGGCTCTTGCCCTGGCCCCACGCTCCAAGAAGCTGTTGGAGGATTCTAGTCCTGCACTGCCATGAGACTCCAACCTCAACCCCAAGTTCCTAGAGGCTACCATGGGGCTCCAGCCCAATGGTGATCTGTGTTGCTGGGGGACTCATGCGAAGCCCCACGCTGCTGTGGGCTGCTGGAAGCTGCCGTGGGGCTCTGGCCCCGGTCTGGCCTCCAGCCGGGCTTCCAACCCTGATGCCCTGGCTGGCTGGCCCTCCTGCCCTTAGGCTCCCGGATTTCTCTTTATCTAGTTGGGGCTGCGGGGAAGTAGCAATTTGCTGCCACTTTTTGCCAAGAGTAAGTTATGGCACCCCTGCTCGGAGATATCTGGGCTGGCTGGTGTATTGGAAAATAGAGCCCATGTTCCAATCCTCTCTGATCCCTTCCTCCTAGCCTGAGGTAGCAAGCAAGCATGGAGCAGTCCACTCTTTTCTCTCTCGTTGCCCAGATACAAGGTCTGGGGAGACTTTGCAAAGGTGCAATGAAGGTTCCTTTATGATTCTACATGGCTGCGTAGTCCAAATCAAAATTTAGCCCTTAATATTTCAAATCCAGCTCTGCGGTTTGCTGTACGGGCAGTCCCCGGGTTACGTACAAGATAGGGACTGTAGGATTGTTCTTAAGTTGAATTTGTACGTAAGTCAGAACTGGTGTCCAGTTTCTCTGCCCCGGGCTTCCTGGAATCATCCCTGATCAGTTTCAACAGCGGCTGAATCTGGATACCTGGGACAGAGCAACTGGGGCGCTGCGGGGACCAACCCGGCAGTACCCCAGCTGCTCTACCCCAGGTGTCCCCAAGTCAGCCGCTGCTGAAACTGATAAGCGGCTGATTCCAGGAAGCCCGGGGCAGAGCAACTCTGCCTCAAACTTCCTGTAATGAGCCGCTGGTTAGTTTCAG